GAGGCGGGGGGGTCCCCTGTAGGGGCCGCGCGGGTCCCTGTGCCAATCACCTCACCGAGCCCACTGCCTCCGGCTCGCGCCGCGACGGGCCAGAAAAGCCTCTTGGTTCGGAGCCCGGCCCGGCCGCCGCGCACGCGCAAAATCACTCCCGGCCCGGGCTGCCTTACCCGAGCAGGCTCGCACGCATGCCCACCTCCCAGGAGGCGGGGGAGGAGTGAGTTGCGGTCGCGCATGCGCAACCCCTATACGCGTCTGCCTGAGTATCGCGTGGAAGGAGACTCAGACGGGCTGGTCGCTAGTGGATGGGAATGAGCCGGTGGAGAGGCCTGCGAAGAACGGGGGAGGAAAGGGGCTGCGTGGCTGGAGGAGGGCGGGAGGCGTGGACCCCTGGCCGGCCTCCTCTTTGAACGTGGCTCGGTGAGTTTGCTGCCCTGGAGCAAGGGACTCGTTTGCTGCGGGGCAGAGGGAGCAGGTATGGTCCCCACGATTTTCGTATAGCCTGTACGTGCCAGGAGGTTATCGCCTCCCAGACTTTGCAGGCGATAACGCAACCACGGGTAAAAAGCTCTGTGCCTTGGCGCATCTTCCCACACGCCCTCAACTTTTCTGCAGAGTTGCAGACCTTTGAAAATCATAGCTCGAATCTGTGGACACCCAGAGGTCCAAGGACTATAGTTTGAAATAGGATATATTAACAGGGATGTCATGTTAGGGAGACAACGTGGGGAAGGCAATATCTGTTACTGGACCAACTTCTGTTGGTAAGAAAGTCAGGCTTTAAAGTCACACAGAGCTCTTCTTCAGGTCTGGGAAAAGTACTCCTAGTATCACAGCAAATTACAAGCTGGAACAGATTATTTAGCATAAATAGTAGCATATATCGTAGGGGACCATTCAAGATAGACTGGTCCGTTAACACCTCTGCAATCATAGGGCAAAGAGAGACAGTTAGGAGGTTACTTTGAATGGTCTCTATAATCTTAACTACTTAGGCTAAACAATCTGTTTCACCTTGCATTTTGCTGTGATGTTGGGAGTACTCTTCTGAGACCCGAAGAAGAGGTCTGTGTCACTCTGAATCAGGGGCGGGCAATAATTTTTTCAAGATGTTGGAAAGTGGTCTAGGGCCACACTTTTCTGTGGAGGAGATGCAGAGTCTAGGATGGAGTTTGGGTGCAGAAGGACAAACGAGGTAAAGGACTGGGATTCAGGAGACAGCGTGAGGTCTGAGAGGAAGTTTGAGTGAAAGAGGGGAGTTGTGACTTAGGGCATGGGATTGTGGTGTAGTGTCAGGGAGGGAATATGGGTGCAAAAGAGGATTCTGGCCTGGGGGATTTCTAAGAGGGGGTGCAAAGTCTGGGACGGAATTGTGACCTGGGAGAAGGAGCAAAAGGGGATGCAGACTCTGGAGGGTTGGGTGGAGACCTGGAGCAGGGGAATGGGTACAGGGTCTGGGAGGATGTTTGGGTGTGGAGGGGATTCTAGCCTAGGGGAGGCGGGTGTTGGAAGAGGTACAGGATCTGGGAGGAAGTTGTGATCTGGGATAAGGGGGCGCAGAGGGTTTGGATGGTGACCTGGGGGAGGGAGTTGGGTGCAGGAGGGGCTGGGATGCCAGGGCAGGCTCTGGCTGCAAGGCACTTACATAAGTATCTCCTGGCTTGCAGCATCCCCAAGGCAGGTGAGGCTCCCCGCTTGCTGCAGCCCCAGATCACTTTAAACTACATGCTGTTCCCTCCACATGGTTCTCAGCTCCAGGAGGGAGAAGATGCTTGTGCTGTCCCCCGTCCCCGTCCCCTCCCCCCGCCAATCTCACAGCTCCTATTGGCTGGTTGTTTCCAGCTAATAGGAGCTGAGGATTGGACTGGGGGTGGGGAGATCACACACAGCCTCCCTCTCCCCGCAAAGCAGAGTTGCAGACTGTGCTTTAAACTGAGGCAGCTGTATTCCCGAGGGTTCTGGCAGGGTGGTTCATGGGCCCGTTCCAATAGCTTGATGGGCTGGATCCAGCTCCCAGGCCCAAATTTTGTCCAACTCTCTAAAAATTGATTCTCACAAAGAGAAGTTGGTCCAATAAAATATATTACCTATCCCACCTTGTCTTTCTAATATGACATTCCTGTGAATCCAGAATATTTGCCTTTTTTACAGTAATGTCACATTGTTTATTGAGGGTTGGTGTATACTAAGGAGTGTGGATGATGTAAGCTGCCCTACATCAACCTAATTATGTCGGTGTCTACAGTAGAAAGTTCCTTCTGCCAAACAAGTGGCCTGTTATACTATCAAACTCCACCTCCACAAGAGGCATAGTACTTAAGTCAGTGCAGTTAGGGTGATGTACTGTCCCTGCAGATACTAGATTACTTATACTGGCTGTCATTATTTACTTTGGCTGTCAGTTTCAAGGCTGCCTCTTATTTAGAGCAGCAGTTAGGGCTTACAGAGGGACCCATGAAATAGACACAAATGTCAGTTTCTCTGCTAGTGGGCTTGGCTCTTGGCTGTCCACCGAGCTGTCAGTCCAGTGCCCAATTTACAGCTGGAATCCCCACCCTAGGCTGACAGCCCAAGCTGTGAGTGCAGCACTGATCTTAATTTCACAGCCAGGAGCCTCCCAGTTGGGCCCACTGGGAGCAGTAACAGTGGTGGTAACCAGAGCCCTGGGGTCTTTAAATCACTGCTGGATTGGTGTTGAAGGGCTGTTGGGTGGAGGCTAGGCCCCAACCCCGCCTCTTCCACTTAATGCCTCACCCCATTAGGGAGTGCAGAGCCATGCCCCCTTACCTTTCCCAGGAACTCTGCAATTCTGTGGGGACCCCCTACTCTCAGGAGTGAAACTGACATTTTTGTCTGTTTTACAACTCTAACTGTGAGCCCCATACTGCTGCTCTCAACCAGAGGCAGCCATGAAACTGACAAGTACATCAATGTCACCGATAATAGGCTCTGAGTTGGCATCAGGTTACAGCTTAGGCTATTACCCCAGTGTGGGTGGGGCAGTGGTGGATAAAGTACCCCCAAAAGTTGCTTGAGTAAAAGTACTGCTACTCTGGAAAAAAAATTTAACTAAGTAAAAGTCAAAATATCCTTCTGGAAAACTGCTTAAGTAAAAGTACAGAAGTATTGCATCTTAATTGTACTCAAGTATGTAGAAATAAAAAGTAGCCGTCCTATGTACATCTATGGTTAACCACCCGAGTTATCCATAAGGCACAATTATTTTTCATACACACAATGTGCATTTATATATGCATATACAATTGTGTGTGTGTGAGAGAAACAACAATAGTTGTTGATGAAGAAGATGCTCCTTCTGGGAAACTGTAGATCGGCATGGGCAAAACCTTTTTGGGTAGGAGCCACTGACCTGTGGAAAGATCAGGTGGGGTCACACAACTGAGAGGCAATGCCCCCCAAAAAACAAACAAAACCCCTTCATTGATGTAGCCCCAAAATCTGCCCAATGGGAGCAGAGGGGAAACTCTCTCAGGAGCAGTTTCCAGCACTGAATTCCCCCAGCCGGGGGAAGCATAAGCCACAGCATGTGGCTCTGTGCTTCTTCTCTCCCACACACCGGATCCAGCCCATGAGGCTCAGGGTTGCCCACTCCTCCATACAAAGCCAGCCTTAGGGAAAATGGCACCCTAGGCAAACTTGCATTTTGGCACCCTGGCCCTCTCTACCCTGGACATGGTGCCCCCCACATTTCCCTTGGAAGCTGCTCAGTCCCTTGCTCCCCTTAGTACAGGGCTATTGTCTCTTCCCCTTGCAAAGGGAGTTGTCATAAGTTGTCATAGTCCTTGGCCAAGCCCTTCCTTTAAGAGCTACATGGGGAATGGATTATTGTAGCTTAAATCAGCGGTGGGGAATCTAAGGCCAAAGGTCTGAGTGTGGTCCCCAGCTTGCCTGGATCTTGTCCCTGAGGCTCAGGGCTCCCCCCCAGTATTGGGAGCCTGTTCTGGTGCTCCAACCTCCTGCCATCTCTTCACTGGGCTGGAGCACACAAAATCTACAAGCCTGGGCCCCCCAAGGCTCTAGTGTGCGAGGGGAATGTCTGTCTTCTCAGCTGGGGGCCACATCAGTGAGGGTTCTGGTGGGGGTTTTTTTCTTCTCACCATGTGTGACCCCTGACTGGTTTTTCTGTGGGTCAGTGGCCTCCGACCCAAAGAAGGTTCCCACCCCTGGATTAAATATTTTCCCTCAGATATGACACACAGAAAGCAGCTGCTGTTTTTGAATCTCATCCGATTGTGAAATGAAATAGTGGGTCACTTGCCCGTCAGTGGGTTCTTCCTCGACAGTTTGAGCTGCTATGAAGAAGCACTGGTAGCTCTCTTTCTGCCCAGCACTTCCCCTTTATGCCTGGTGTTTGGTTTGCAGCTCATGGCAAGCTCCCTGCTGTCAGAGGAGGGCTGCATTTTGTGCATGTGGCCCTCCTGCAGCCCTCTGGCCACTCTTAACTCACCAGGGATTCCAGTTCAGATTGCAGTGGGGCTGGGGAAGGCAACTTTAACCACTTCAGAGGATACTTAGGCACCTGAAATCTCTAGGGATTTGTGCTTATTTTGTTTTTTTTTTGTTTCTTTGCAAATAACTTGGAAATTAGTGGATTTCACAGTACACAGACATCCTGAAATATTTCCATCAGTAATAATTACATTATTTACAGATAGGGAAAGCAAGAAAAGTGCTTCCTGAGAACTTGTTAGAGTTAAAATTCAATGATATAAACTTCTGACTGGGCTTGCACAAATGGATGAGTGAATGAATAGTTAAATCAACAAATCATGTCTGGTGTTAGGATAATTATTTTATATTCTCGACATGTATCTTGACGTGATATGGTGGTTTTTGCTGTTTTGATGTAGTCATACTAGTGCCTGGATGAGTCACAATGTGAGTGAATATCTTTAATTGGACCAAATATGGTTGGTGACAGAGACAATCTTTGGAACTCCTCAGAGCTCTTCTCCAGGTCTGTGAAGCTCAAAAGGGCTAATCTCTCACCAACCAAAATTGTTCCAAAATAATTAAAAAAAATATATATTACTTCACCCGCCTTGTGTCTGTTTGGGTTTTAACAGCTTTAAAGCTTGAGCTCTTAATTTGTTAACGATGAAGTAGAAAAGCAATCAGACCTCCCTCCATAATTTCCCAATAACTGTGAAAATTATAAAAAGATGAAAAGCTTA